TAACATAGTATTTGTTAGGCTTAACTCTCATGACTCTTTATTTTATATAACCTTAATTCCCACTAAGACAATTTACTACCCACTAACATGCTAAATTAACACATGCATCATGGATACAAAAATACTTTGAAAATACTAAATACTAAAATCAAGTTTATTTTCAACACCAACATCACCTCCACCGCCATCAATTCAAGATCAATCAACTCCATCATCATCAAGTTCAAGTGACACACCACCACTTCGCATGAGAAGTCTTCGTGACATATATGACGAAACAGATGAGGTAACGGAAAGGTTAGGTGATCTAACACTTTTTTGTCTCTTTGCGGATTGTGAACCCGTAGGATTTGAAGAGGCGGCACAAGACAAAAAATGGAGAAATGCTATGGATGAAGAAATTAAATCCATAGAGAAGAATGACAATTTTGTTCTAGAAGGAAAATCCAATAGTGCAGCATGAACTCACCAGCACCAAAAGTCAAAGTGCTATATTCTGGATATGAAAACCCTCCTCTAAGGACCATTGGCAATGTATCAAATGTGAAAACTGGTGTTCATGGATCCATGATAGGCGCGATATTAGTTTGATGATCATCACACATTTGAAGGAGGGAAACTGTTGTTAACAAAATAAAAGATCCCGTCTCTCTCTATTATCTGGGTGTAGAAAGGGAGCAGGATTTTTTATTCTTAGTATATTTTATCCTCACTGACTGCTTGTAACTTGGGACTTTCTAGGGGAGGAGACATAGCCAAGCTGGACATTCAACTGCTGAGAATTTTTTCGGACATGATTGGTTCCATAGACACGAACCAGATATGGTTGAGGCCATTGGTCTTGTTGCACTTATTCCAAATTTTATGGCTCTTGGTTATGTAGAACCTCCTGCATCATTGATGTACTCAATTGGTGATCTTAGAAGTTAAAAGGGCGGCATTGCTTTTGAGTTTTCTATGTATAAATTTACTTTAGAATAGCACTGGCAATGATGCTTGAATGCATTAAATGGTAGCTTCATCTTTTCTGCTCCTTATACTTTAGGGGAACGGTTGATTAATTCAATGAGTTGTCTTCTACAGGGGAAAAGAAAAAACATACTATTAACATGGTGTTTCCTTGTTTTTCTGCTTGCTTACTGGTTTTCAGTAAGCATAATTATTTTCATAGACTACTGTTTGGATTTTCACTATTGCAACAATCTTCTGTTTTACATCTGCAAATTGTTTCTTTTCTTTTGTTTGTCTCCTAGTTAAATCCTAGTGATTTGTACCATGTGGTATATGTAACTTCTAATGTTGTAGTGCTATGTGGATAATTCTTGATTGTCATTGGCCTATAGGAATATTGTCCAAGAGAAAAATTCTGAGTATCATTCGATGAGAATTAGGTATGTTTGATCACCTTACTCAAGTGGAGATATTTATATAACTGGTTACTTGTCAAAAAAAATAAAAAAAAGTGGCTCTGTATCTAGTGGACCTCATTGATGCACTAACCTTTGTCAAGCTTCTAGGGAGGCACTTATATCTCTGTACATGTTATTTTAAACCATTAATAAATTTCTTAGCTTACCCAGGTATCAACTTATTTTCTCTATTTACAGGTTCAAAATCGATTATCATCTTCTTTTGGGTATTAGAATATGATGACGGGCATTACAATGAGGATATCAAGATAAGAGAAACACACGACCAATTGGGTTGCCTAGAAGAGTGAGCAATTGCCTTAATATTTTGATTTTTTGTGGGTATTACAATTTTTGTGGGCATGTATATATATGTCAACAATGATGGAATTATACATTGAAATCTTTACTAAATATAAGACTTCTTGAAATTTATTTGTTTGTGATTGGTGGGATTGGCCCATTTTTATTTTTTGTATGACTTGAGCTATTTTTTTGCATGCATATGATGTTGTTGATTTGTACAAGGCTTGGTGTGAAAATATATGGCTTTGGATTGAGTTTTGGTTGTGTAATATTCGTGGAAAAATAGGCATACAGTTTTGAGTTGAATCTCATGAAAAACTGGGGTAAAAATTTTTTTGGGTGAAAAAAAAAAAAAAAAAAGCGACTTTTCACAAGGGGCAAAGTCTCTCATAGAATAGGCAAAAATTGTTGTGGAAAGTTACATTTCTAAGAGGGGCTATGTCCTTTGTAGAAAATTATACCTTCTACAATGGCCATTGCTAGTTGTCGAAGTATGAACTTCTACAATGGTCTAAACCGTTGTCGAAAGTTCCCTTTCCATAATGGGCCGGAGCCGTCGTAGAAGACCCTGAATCAACAACGACAGGGGATACCACAATGGGCCATGCCCATTGTAGAATAATTTTTCGCCCCTTGTTAAAAACCATTTTTTCTTGTAGTGAATTTAACGCAATTTGATTAAGAAATGACGGAGATATGACTATTTGAAGTTGGGTTAAGAAAGCTAGGGAGCAGATGACTTCAGCCGACTGAAACTAAAGGATCATTCAGCTGACAATGATGGTCAGCCAGCTAAAATGATGTTCCAACATCCAAACCAAAATTACACTGTCGGTGGGTTAGCTCATATCACCAGCTAGCTGGAACTCCCTAAGAGCTAAAAATGGGCCATTCTTGGGTGTTCAAGGCATCGGATACCCTCATGGCATCAATAATGACCTCAATTTGGTCTGAAACCTATCCCAAATGATCCAAAGACATACATGAGGTGAGATTGATTACCTAGCCCTGGCCTCAAATCCGACAATCATTTGGGCCTAGTAATCAATATTATATTTTTTTTTATAACCGGCACGCACTCCCTCTAGGTTAAGTTAGCACCGGACTCACGAAATCCGGTTCTTTTAAAAACTTTGTTTTACAACCTTTCTATTTTGACTCACTTGTCAAATCTTTTCAACCTTCCTATCATGTTATGTAGATGAACCAATGGAATCAATTTAACTTCAATTTTCATCTACATAAAAATGGCATGATCATGACATTTTTTCTATAAATCAAACACAAGCATACTTATCATTGAAGTTCCTTTATCACAACCATTCAAACATTTATAAGTTTAGAATTTTCACAAGTTAAGACTGTTATGCATCTCACTTAGCACATAAGGCACATTTTATAACACATACAAGCCTACTTTCACTACACCATTATTCAAGTAGCAACATTCTCACAATTTTGCATTCAACGTGAATTAAATGAAGGAACAAAGAGACATTTATCAATGAAAGACAAAGTTTGACGTAATAGGAACTCTTACCTCAAGAGAGCAATCCAAATAAGGCCTAGCTAGCCCAAAATTTTGAAATCTTCTTAGTGCCCTCAAGTGTGGTGTCAAATGAAAGTCCTCATCGAGTAGAACAAATATCCCTTGTTAAAGAGAGAAAGAGAATGTTAGGGAGAGAGAGGGGGTGGCCGAATGATGAAGAAGGAATGGGGTTGCATGGCAATATCTTCTAAATGAATGCATGGCCCTCCTTGTTTCAAGTGCCAAGTGATGGTTGGTTATACCTTTTGTCAAAGTTACTCAATTGCCCTTCTAAGTTAAGTCACATTTCCACAATGCCATCAAAATATCTACCTCATAAACAGAAATATACGCATGTATACATCATGCCAAATACCTTAATAAACATTAATAAAAAACTGGGAAAAGATTCCCAAGCACATAGTGGTTTCCGACCCCGAAAATTCCAAAAATGATCCCATAAATCCCAACACATATAGAATGATCAAAATGCATTTCTAAAACTCCCGAGCCTAAGAAAAAGTCCTAAACGACCCTCGTGGCCATGTAACATGTAAAACGAGGTACAAAAAAATAAACAAAAGAAAAATACCAAAAAATTCTGGATATAACAAGTTGCGGCGGGCGACGCAACGATGGAGGATGTTGGCAATATAGTGGAGCTTGGGGAAGGACATCCAGGTTGCGGTGGATTTGTGGTTGCAACATAGTGGAGAAAGGTGTCGAAGACGGGTTTGGGTAGTGGGGAGGTGGCGGAGGTGGCAGCGGTTGCAGCAGAGGGGACAATGTCCCTAGCTTGTGGTGATGAGAGTGAGAGTGAAGAACATGAAAAGAAAGGCGAAAACGAGAATCCATGTGTGGTGCCCACGTGCTGGTTGTTGATTGATTTTGGGGTTTGAACAGAAATTTTCTATTGGGTTTTGGTGGCCGCCACCGACATCAAGTAGTGGAGGATAAAGACCCCAAACACAACTTCAACCATTTGATTGAAGAAGAAGACTCAGGGTTATTTTTTTAATCTTATGACAATGATTATTAATTTTTTATTTAAAATTAAATCATAAGGATAATTTTGTCATTTCATACGTAAAAGGGGTAGCATGATAACATTTTTTATTTCAGGGGGAAATTTAATTTTGTGAATGATTTTTTGCACCAATTTAATAGTAGAGAGGGGTTTTGTGATTTTACCCTTTCTATAATAGAGGCAGTTCGACGAGCTACTAAGATAAATATAAATATATATATTGAAATTTATTAATTATATTCTAAATTTTAAATCAGTCTAACCAAACACTAGAATGATTATTATTGTTCCATTTTTACACTTTTTATATTTTCTACCAAATAATAAAATGAGAATGTTCATTCCCCCATTGCATTCCATTCCATGCCAAACGCAACATTTGTTCCGAGAGCAGCTAATATAAATATATATATATATATATATATATATTTTGGAATGGTAGTTGTTAATAAAGTTGTATATGCTTTGGTCTTTTCATGGTCTAAAGACAATGAAAGGCCTTTTAAAACGTGAAGGTAGGATATGTATGTAATTGCATTAACTTCAAACCAAAAAAAAAAAAAAAATAATGAAAGAATGAAAGAAGAAGTTCAAGGCAGGCCCAATCAAAATCTAATCAAGGGCCTCATATGCACTGTAATCTCAATGGGCTACGGGTAATCTCAATTAAACTATATAACACATATTTCCACCGAGTCTCACTGAATTAGGGTTTATATACACTATAGCTATGAAGAGAGAGAAAAGAGATGAGTCGGCGCCATTACCATCCCTTCCTTGTGATCTCATATTCAACATTCTGTTAGGGTTACCCGTCAAGTCTATTCTCCGATTCAAGTGTGTGTGCAAGTCATGGCTCACTTTGTTCACCGACCCTGACTCTGTGAAGAAACATCTCAGCCGATCCCAAACCTCCAAACTCATAGTTTCATGTCGGTCTTCCACTTCATGCCCTACACTCCTCGTAGTACCAACATGTGGTACTGATGGTGAGAATCGTGATCCAAGACCCATTCACCATATTGAAACCAGGGGTAGAAAGTTCAACATCTTGGGTTCCTGTGATGGCTTGGTATTATATGGAACTGGTCCTAATCCCGATAGGCGTTACTCCAACAGGCTTTACTTGCTGAATCCTTCGACGGGAAAACACTTGTCAATTGAAAATATTACAGACTCAGAGTCAAACTCAGACTCAGCCTCGTACGGATTTGGTTATGATGAATCTATTGATGATTTCAAAGTGGTGGCAATCTCCCCCTCATCCTATAAGCTATAATAGAGTATTCGGCAGCCCTATAACGAATGTATATACACTAAAAACAAATTATTGGAGAAGGATTCAAGACATCCCTCTCGGTATCCATTTGCCTTTGAAGGCATCAGGTATACTTCTACACGGAGTTCTTCATTGGTTACATATATATTACTTCAGGCGTCGGGTATACTTCAAGATCATTTGTTTTGATTTAGTTGAGGAGAAATTTCGATTCTTGCCTATACATGCAGGCATTCTAGGAGATGATCCACTAGATGCACGGTACTCAACGCTTGAAGTGCTCAGTGGATGTCTCTGTATTAGTTGCTTAAAATGGGAACGTGATTGTTTACCTTGTAGAAAGTTTTGGGTGAGGAAGGAATATGGCAAGGACGATTGGTCTAGCGTGACATGTGATAGCAATAAGTCACTGGATGATTTCTCAAACAGTGATAAAGAAGATCTATTTTCATTTGAAAAAAAGTGGTTGGTTGGGTACAATGTAGAAAAAGATTCATACTGCAGGTATCATGTGTTTGACTGTAACGCTGATACAATGTGGGAATTAGAGATTTACCTGGAGACCATTGTTTCTCTATATCAAGTACCATAGACTTTATAATGTACTAGCTAATAAGCTTATTCATTCTGGCATATTTTATATTTATCATTTGTTTATCTTTAAATTTTTTTTATTATCTATTATTGTTCAATGGCGTCCACTCTCAACATAATTCCTATGTCCGTCACCTGTTGAATAACCTATTAATCAATTGTTGCTGATGTTTTCTGGAATTGTTGCTCTGCGCCAATTCGTCATTTTTAGTTCTCGATTAGAGATTTAAATTAGCCAATTCGTCATCTTGTTTGTTTTTCAAGGATTAGGGTTACATATATTACACCACACACGTCTATATTCCTTTATTTGTTTTCCCCGAAACAGGCTCAAAATTTTAACTGCGAGGTTTGCGCAGTGCCGATACAATAATAGACAGATATATTTGTATAGTATTTGTTAGGGTTGAGATAGCTATGAAGAGAGATAAAAGAGATGAGTTGGCGCCACCATTACCATTCCTTCCCTATGGTCTGATATTCAACATACTCTCATGGTTACCTGTCAAGTCTATCTTACGATTCAAGTGTGTCTGCAAGTCATGGCTCACTTTGTTCACTGACCCTGACTTTGTGAAGAAACATCTGAGTCAATCCCAAAACCACAAACTCACAAACTCATTGTTTCATGTGAGTTTGACACTTTTTTTTTTCCGGTTATATGTGAGAATCATGATCCAAGACCCATTCACAATATTAATTCTAAAATCAGGGGTATAAAAGTCAACTTCTTAGGTTCCTGTGATGGCTTGGTATTATTTGGTTATGTTGCGTCTATGGATGATTAGAAAGTGGTGGCAATCTCGTCGTCCCGCAATGGAGTCTCAGATTTCAAGAATATAACTAGTGTGTATATACACTAAAAACAAATTCTTGGAGAAGGATTCAAGACCTTGAGGTTTTGCCTTTTGAGGGTTCAGGTATACTTCTACATGGAGTTCTTCATTGGTTAAGACCACATTGGAGCAATATCATTTGTTTTGATTTAGTTGAGGAGAAATTTCAATACATGCCTTTACCAGCTGATCTTCAAATAAATCCGCTATCAGGAACAATATCTTATTTTTTCCAAAGAGTTTTCGTTTTTTAGAGAGTTTTCGGTAGGACTGCAACTTGGGCGGGCTCAAGAGCGGATCCAAGAATTGTCAGTGGGGTGGGCTAAAATTAAACATAAATTTAATAATACAATTTCTTAAGCAAATTTTTTATAACATAATCTAGATAAATATTTGAATTCAAATATTACAAAATATCTTTCTAAGTTGTGCTCGATGAGTCTTTAAAGACTCAAATTCGTTGATAATAGACTCCAAGTCAATTTTTCAAATAAGGTCCCGTACAGTCGTGCAATCAGCAAGAAATTCATCTCCTATTGTGCTATTTTTTAACACATTTCATATTTGGTTTTTTTGGTTTTAAATATTGAATTATTGTAATTTTTGTTTGTGGCTTTATTTTATAAATCAATTTGAAATTCTAACACTTACCCATCTATATTTATTTGTAGTAAGTTAGTAACCTTTGATTTGTGAATTATTGGATTTTGATGTTCTCTTTTATACTAATACTCCTTGTCTACTAGAGATTAAAATCATCAAATTTTTGTAGTTTATAATGCCATAGATTTTTTTGTTTGTTTGTTGAATACTTTCTAGATAAACACAGGAGTTCTGTTTATTTTTCGAAAAATAGAGGTCTTCCGACATTAATTGTCGACTCATCCTACGAATACAACGTGGTTGGATTACATTGGAACTCTTAAAAAAATTCCCGTAAACATCTCTTTCTCTTCGACTCATTCCCAACCAAGTTATATTTGGAGGATTAGTCGGCAATTGAAGTCGGAAGATTTATCACTTCTCTTATTTTTCATAATGATTTGAAAGTGTTGAAATTATGAATTTATTTTATATATATAATTTCAGAACTGCCTCTACAACAATTTTATCTCAGAATACGTTTTACTTCATATCCTAATACTCATCATTGATAGGGCTTGTTAAACTTGGGCCTCTTTATTTTAGTATCATGGCTTAGTTGACTTGGGCTTATTTAGGTGGGCTAATCTTAATAATAATTTTTTGTTTTTGGGCTGGACTAAAAATACCCATAGTAATATAAAAAAATATATTTTGGGGTGGGCTGGAGCCCAGCCCAGCCCTACGCTGGATCCGCCAGTGGGTGGGCTAACTCAGCCCAATCTAAGCCCAATCCCGAAATTTTGAAATTTGGACTTTAAATTCACAAATCGGGCTCATATTCGGGTTGGGTTTTGTCAAAACCCAGACATATTCGGGTTGGGCTCGGGCTCAACCTGAAACCCAAAATTTTTTTTTCTCCTTTCTCTCTCCACCGTCCCCTCTGTTGCCGTTGCCGCCGCCGCCCCTCTTGCAGACCATGATTAATTGATTTGTAAAACAAAAATTATAGTTTTACAGACCTTGATTAATTGATTTAGGAAAAAAAAAATTAAAACAAAACCTGCATACAATTTAGCAGTTGCATAGAGAGAGGGAAGCAAGCTTGAGAGTTGAGAGACAGCAGCTGAAGCTTGCGAATGGCAAACCCGAACTGGAACAGTGGGTGATGGAAACTGAAAGATCTGGGTTTTGATTTTTTGAACAATCTAAAATGATATGCCGATCTGGGTTTTGATTTTTTGAACAATGTGAAATGATATGCCGATATGGGTTTTGAACTTTTGATTCTTGCAGACAGATAGATAAAACTGAAATATATGGGTTTTGAAATTCTGATTCTTGTAAATTTTGTAGTTTGCAGTTGGAAAGAGAGAGAGAGTGAGAGAGAGGGCAAGTTAAGAGAGAACAGAGATGGAGGCATGGGGGAGGCGGAAATGATTTGCCCTAAAAATATTTTGTTTTTTTAATAATAATATAATCAAATATATATAATATATATAAAATAATATATTATATATATATATATAAATTTCCATAAAAAAAAAAAAATTTAAAAAACTCAATTCGTCAACCCAACCCAACCCGTCCGAAAATATTCGGTTCGGGTTACGACCATAACCCATGTTTAGTACAATTCGAGTTGCCCCAATCCAACCCGATTCGGGTTGAGGATGGGTTGGGACTGGGTTTGATTTGCCAGCCCAAGTTACAGCCCTAGTTTTCGGTGATGATCATACAAATAAATTAACGTGTGGAGGAGGATGTCTTTGTATTAGTTTCATAATTCAGGATCAAGATATTATGTTTTCCAGAGAGTTTTGGGTGATGAGGGAATATGGGAAGAGAGAGTCTTGGACTAATGTTTGGTCTACCGTACCATTTGATAGCATAAAGTCACTGAATTTCTCGAACACTGATAAAGAAGATCTATTTTTAGTTGACAAAAGGTGGTTGGTTGGGTACAATGTAGAAAAAGATTCATTCAGCAGGTATCGAGAGAACTATAACCGTACTACAAACATTGTAGCAGAGATTTACCTGGAGAGCATGGTTTCTCCATAAAAAGTACCATAGACTAACATTAATGTAGTAGATAGATATTGATTCTGGCATATATATATATATTTTATAATTTCACTGTGACGTACTCCAACCAATTTATTAGTTATTAATTTGAAGGCAGTAAAACCATTTGTAGTGTTTTTATATAAATCTTGGAATACATATTATTTTTATATATGCATTTGATATTGTTTATTTGTTTTTGTTAATGAAAGTAAAAATAAAAGGTGGTTAATTGTATAGGATTTTTGAGTGATCCTATTGAAATCCAGAGCCTAAATTTAAGAAACACTTTACTGATTGAGTATCCAAATGACAGGTCCTCTCTGTTTATTCTTCCTAAGAAGATCGTTGCTGCCATTAATCAAACATTGATCACAAGGTTGCTTCATATGGTGCAATTGGATACATACCTATCTTCTTAGATCTAGGTAAGAATTTTTGGTGTTGGAGATGCGCTTAAACTGAAATTCAAGCATATTATAAACTAAGGGCAAAATACCTCTTTATGGCTGTCTTAGCCAAGGATCATAGAGTAATTCATGATTCAGGGATTCCAGTGGAAGCCAAGGTAGCTGACATGGGAGTGGGAATGGCATGAGTCTCATGCTACTAATGTTAGGGAGACTGGTCTATTGACTCGTTAAATAAATTATCTCTTTTGCTAAGGCCAAAAAAAAAATTTGATTATTTTTATTGAATAAATTATCTCTTTTTGTTCATATGGTTTTTGTTCACACCAGTCGATGTACTTTTGCGGGCATGACAGAGTATTTGTAAAAATACTCAAAATATGAGTTGAACGCCAACCTATCCCTTTTTCGTTGATAGTTGACTTCGGCGAATGTGCGGGAGAAAGAATAGTAAGAACTCCCAGTTAGGTTCTTTTTCGGCCTAGTTTGCAAGGATTTTGTATAAAAATGT